ACTGCCTGAAAAAACTACTGTCGCATTCAGATTATATAAATATATATATAAAGTGTTTTTTCTTAAACAATATAATGTCCTTATCTGTTTTCACTTGGAGAAAAAGTGTTACTATATTTTGAGTATGGTAATAGTAGTGGTATGGCTAGGGAAATTTATCTCGACCAGCCATTCCAGTAACGACAAAAAAATTGAACATATGTATACATGGATATATGAGTGAGGCTAGTCTTGCTAGGTAGCACCCCTAATGCGCTGAAAAAACAGCATAGCATTATGAAAAAAAAGGCCACAAACTTAATAAAAACAAAGTTTTATCGTCAAAATGTTTACGTTATTAAGAAGAAAGACCAAAGTATTTCTTTAAATTTAATTCTTTCTAACACGTTCGAAATTTTGGTTAAAAATCTTGTTTTTTTATGCGTCAACAGGACTCACTGTGGAAATTTTAGTGCCTTTTTTCCTGTAAAATATTGATTTGGAAATTCTTGCAAAAATCAAATAATTGTCGGATTTTAATTAAACTTTTAGGACTTATCGCAAATGAATAAATTTATTTTTGAAATTATTATTTCTAGAAAATCTTGGTAAAAATACTTTTTTACATCTGTTACCCCCCACCCCCACCCCTTACTTAATTTCATGAAATTTCTAGAAATTAAATTCTGACTGCAAACTTCGTTTTATTAATTAAACACGGTACTCGTTAGAGAATGTAAATCATCACTTTTTTTTCAAACAGTTACTTTTTCCCCCAAATCTGCCCCGAATAGTAAATTAAAAACTACAATAACACTATGATATTATTTAACTAGATAAGCTTTTAATTGATTTTCTAAATAATACAAACGTTTTTCGGTGAATAATGAATTTTTATAAGAATTGTTCCCATTTTTTTAATTATAATAATTTATAAATTTAAAAAAAAAATTCTTCAAAGCTTTGATCGCGTTAGGCTATTAAGTTATTAAGTGAAGATTATATTTACTAAACGAAAATTGAAAATCATCACACACTAAGATTTCTAAAGTAATTTTTATTTTTTTTCTGTGCATAAACATGTCCATTTGGAAAGTATGGGCGACTATACATGAAATTATCAGAAAATAAGATCGATGATTATAGTAAATTTAAAGTTAAAATCGCTAAAAATTGATTACGGGGAATATTTCCAACATTTTTAAGATTATTGAGTACTAAAAAATTTTATAAAAAAGCGTTCACCCGTCATTTTACTAAATAATGTTTTAACAGATAAAGTCTCCGTAGAACAACAATACACTTGTCAGCACATTTATCAGCACTTATTAAGTGATTTATGAACGATGACAAGTAGGTAATCACCACTACTGTTTGTTTTAAAAAAATTATTAAAAATTGATATTTTCATTTTTTTAATCAAATAATATTTATTTCAAATCAGATTAATTATACTTTAAATCAGCTAATATTCCTCAAATAAGGCTTCAGTAGTGAAAAAAAATTAAGAAATTGGTATTTATGTTTAAAAATAAATTATAATTAACTTTAAATAACAAATGGTTTAAGAATATAATTTTTCTTCTATACGCTTTTATTAAATTTAGTACAATGGATAGTTTTATTTGCTATATTACATTAGAAGCATAAAAAAGAATTTAATTAAAACTAGTGAAATAACACTTTTAAGTTAAATTAATTGTTTGTATTTTTTTGATTATTCATTATTTGTTTGATATGAAAATATTTAATTGCAAGCAATGTGATATTTGTAATTATTCTGAGTTTATGAGTTACAGAATTATGATATATTACATTAGTCAAAGGTAGTAATTCAAAATTATTTCCCTTTTGAACATCCATACAAAATAATAATCTAACAGCGAAAATGGGGAAAACTTTTAAAAAGTTAACACTCGAAAATGGTATTAAACTTTACATTTTTAATTTTTTCAAAGATGTCTTTAATAATAATAATAATAATAATAATAATAAACTCTTCTTACGAACTGTAACGGAATGATTTTAAAAATCGTCTTGATAAGAATTTTTTAAGTGTAGTTTACTTTTTCTATCCAAGCGGAAATGCGTTTTATTAAAAATTAAATTATGCAAGCACCAACTGCCAGGAAAACATTTTCGAGTCTAATTAAAATTTGTTTTTGGTAAGGTTCAGGACAAATTTTCCGTATGTTTGTCAGGTCGACTGGAGGTTTCTGTCTCAAGAGTCAGTAGTTGAATGACCAAAATCAGTTATTTACGCATAGGCTCCGAGTGGCACTTTCGGTAGCGTTGAAAATATTCAAATTATTAATCGACCACTGACAGCGTTTCCCTCGCATTTTCGAGGGACTTTTTTGTGAGTCGGCACCTGCTTAAGGGAAGCTATAAATATAGACCATAGAGCAAACAAGGGCAGTTGGCGAATGGATTCCGTGTTGTCAACTCATCCGGTTTACTAATCCACTGAAACATTCCACGCTTCTCTGATGTAGATTCAGTAATGAATCCAAGGTATGAACTTTCCCCCATTCGAGGGGTTTTATTAAACACACCTCAATGTGTGTCTTGTTTATGAACTTTACCCCTTTCAAGGGGTTTTATTAAACATGTCTCAATGTGTGTCTTGTCTACGAACTTTCTTCTTTTCCAGGGGTTTTATTCTTGGAACTTTTCCATTTTTATGGATTTTATTAAACAAACCTCAACGTGTGTCTTTGTACCTTTCCATTTCCAGGGGTTTCATTAAACACACCTCAATGCGTGTTTTTGCACCTTTCCATTTAGAGGTTTATTTAAACACACCTAAATGTCTACACATAACTTTCCCCTTTCAAGGGTTTTTTTATTAAACACACCTAAAAATGTGTGTATGTTATCTTTTCCCTTTTAAATGTGTATGTGAACATACCCTTCTTTTCAAGGGTATTTCACCACAGGATGTATAAAATATCCAAATAAATTGTTATTTTTTGATGAACAAATCTTTATTTTCTTGTTCGTTTTAAATTCACTTGCTTTGCTTCATCATTGTGTTGTACGGTGGGTTAAGATTGCTTTATTCCGTACAAAACTCGGAATAACTAGTAATCGCTACTACTACGATTTAGCCCCCGACAACCAAACACATTCCGCTCCCCATCAGTTTCAAATCCTGCTACTGAGTCACTCCCCACTTTTCATTTAATTTTACTTTCTTTTTCCCCCCTATGTACCGTGTCCTTTCAGGACGTAGGCGATCATGGCTCTCCGCCTCTCCCCATCCCTTGCAGCTCTCAACAAGTTCCTTCCCTCTGACACCTCCCCCAGACCACGTTCTGTCATCCACTTGCTTAAGACCGCTAGGTATCTCATGTGTTGTTTTCCCTTGTCTCGCTTTCTCTCTATTCGACCTGTGAGTATCAGATTCTCCAGGCCTTCCTCATTATGTGTCCCAAGAACTTCAGCTGCCTCTTCCTGATGTTAGTTAAGTACAGTGTAACCCGAATATAAGAGACCCGGATATAAGAGAAACCCGGATATAAGAGAGATTTTCTCTGGTCCCAAATTAGAGCCTGTGTTAATGTATATAAAATAGACCAAACCCGGATATAAGAGAAACCCGGTTATAAGAGACTTCTTCTCCGGTCCCGACAACTCTCTTATATCCGGGTTACACTGTATAAGCCTCCTCCTTGTTTGCATTCCCTAAATATCTCATCGTTGCTCACACGCTCGGTTCATGATATCCTTTTTTGCATCTTTCTGTAGAACCACATCACCGTCGCCTCGAGTCTCTTCTTCATTTTTGAGGAAATCGTCCAACATTCGCTGCCGTAAAGAAGGACAGAGATGTCACGTAACAACTCAGTATTATTTTCTTCGTTACCAAAGAAATCCTCCTGTCTCGCAATGTTCTGCCCAACTTTTGGAATGCGTACCACCGCAGAAAAAAATTGTCCACACCACACGAGATATCGAAAAAGCAATGTGTAGGCATGGAATGTGAAACATACCTCCTCAAAAATATTTCGACATAGTTAAAATGCAGATAATTCATTCATTAAATGAATAAAAGTACTGAAAATTTCGTTCGAATATTTTTTTTTAAACAGGTGGTAGCGATTTTTTGTTTTAATTTCGGGAAAAAATGTAAATATTAAAATTAAAAAATAATCATAAATGATAAAAAATATCCTAAAAAAATAATATTGATTGGGGTACGATCACTACTTTAGTACTTTATCAGTAATTTCAATCTTTGGGAACAGATTGCCAGACACAATTACTTAGTGTTTTTTAAGTTAAGAAAGAAGTGTAATTCTGAGACCTAAAGCGTCTTTTAAAAATAGAAGTACACAGTGTAACCCGGATATAAGAGAGTTGACGGGACCGGAGAAAAAGTCTCTTATATCCGGGTTTCTCTTATATCCGGGTTTGGTCTATTTTATATACATTAATTAATTTGGGACCAGAGGAAATCTCTCTTATATCCGGGTCTCTTATATCCGGGTTACACTGTATTTAAATTAGATAAAGCGAAAAGGTTACAAAAGGTTAACTGGTGTGAAAGAAGGTTTCAAAATATTTCGAAAATTAAAAAAAAAAAAAGGAAAAAAACATTTCGAAAAAAAAGTTTTTCTCCCGAACTGATAAAAACCAAATAAACATTTAAAAAAAACCCACTACAAAGATAAGGTTTCACTTATTGTCTCCTCCCTCCCTCTTCTTAATCCTCACTGATAATACTTTTCATTGTAGTTATGTATGACGACACTTTTTTAGTTTTTAATCAGCTGGTCTTTAACGTAACATTGTGCAATCGGATTTCATTTATTTAATCAGTTGTCACCGGCCGGAACCGGGAGTGTAAAATTGACGATGTAAAAGCCGCTTTCAACGTTAGGTTTTAAAAAACACGCTTAGGTGTGATCACATTGAAGGAAAAAAAAAAAAAAAAAAAAATATTCCTGTACTTATATATTTTAAAATTCTTAAAGTTCATCTCTCTCTAAATTGTTTTAAGTTCTTTATCGCGACAAATGACAACAGACGGATTTTCGCAATTTTGCGGTTCACCTTTCTGGGTAAGTAGCAAATTGTCCAACACTTTTTTTTTTTTTTTTTTTAAAAAAAAAAAATGTTTTTGTTTTTGCTTGTATCTAAAACGACCTAATGGTAAACCGTAAAAAATAACCATCGATTTTTTTTTTTTTTTTAAATATTATTAATTTTTTTAACTTAAGGTTTATTTCATTTTTGCACTTATTATCTTCCCTATGAGTTTTAATTTTCTAAGTATCTAGTGTTGTTTGTATGAAATATAAAAAAAGAAGCTTTGTTTGTTTTGTGACTTTGTCGGAATGAAGCAAATTAAAAAGCTGACTAAACAAGCTTTCTTTACCGTGAGAAATATTTGGTCTCTCCCATTCAACAAGGGTAGTACTTTTTTTTACAATTAATTTCAAAATAACTTTTTTAAAGAACGACTTATTCATGAACAAATACATTTTTTTTATTTCATTCATTTCAAAATAATTTATCGTAAATTTATCAACTGTTTGCTGTGTAAAAAAAAAACTTGTTACTTTTTTTCTTCTGAAATTATTACGCAATTTGATGTAAATTTTGTCATTCACGAGTTTATTTTGAGACAAAGGGAAAAAAGATGCTCAGTAAAAAACAAACAAACAAAAAACCAAGTCATTTCAGAAGTTTCAGAAAAAAGCCGTTTAAAAAAAGCAAAAATTCGATGTAACACCACTAATCGAAATCTGGTTTTTACTTTTTTATTTTAATTATTTAAATTCCCATTCCGTGAAAAACAGGAAACCCTTCCACGTGTAAGAAAAAGTAAAAAAAAAAAAAAAAAATTACAAATATATTTATCTTCGCTAAAGAATTTTTTCTCTTGGGTGTAGGAGATTATAGCTCTGCACAGTTTCCTTTTCTTCAATATGCGGTGGATTGCCACTTGGGAAAAGATAGTGGACTGTTTTCCCGGTGCGTGCCGTCTTCACGGTTTGGAATTCAGAGTTTTTCTTTTCTGATACATTTTAGTTCAAGCAAAAAAAAACTAACAAAAACCCCGTAGTCATGCCATTGACACGGGCCTTTATGAGAAGCGAAATTTGAACTCAACTCGCTGATTTCCTCATTGTCATCATTAATTTCTGAGATTTTATTGTTTATTGGCAATTTCAGTTGTAAAATGACCTTTTTTTCAGCGAAATTATTCTCATTTAAAAAAAAAGAGAAAAGCAAAACTTTATTAAAAAAACAAAAGCTTTATAATTGTAAAAAAAAGTGTTGTCTCACAACGTTTTTTTGAAAAAGACGTTTGATTTAATTTTAAATTTATTTAAATAATTTTACTTTTTAGGCCTAAATATTTCTTGTGTTCCTTCAACAACAAGTAATGAATGAGAAACGTTAATTAACTTTTTCTTCATTAACGAAGTTTTTAATAATGAGGGTGATTATTGGTAACTTATTTTTGTAAATGCAAATAATTCATTTTCAAAATGATCATTTTTTTTATCCTTTTCTTTCCCTTTTTTTTTTCTTGTCCCACACATTTGTTTCTTTAATTTCAAATGAGACATTTGAATAAAGAGAAAAAAAAACTATTTTTAAAGTTCGTGAACACTTAGTTTATTTCAGTAAATAAGAATAAAATAACTTCTAACCAATCTTCAATGTACAATCTGAACCAATTTCTATATCTAAGAGTCTAAGAACACTCTCCCCATACCTACATCAGAATGTGCACTTGAATGACTTATCTCCTTCAAAATTGATTTGGCTATGTCATGTGGTTTGGTCACCCTTCCTCTTCCGTGCTGGCTCAGGCCATCTTGGAAGAGTTGAAAAGAAATTGTACATGTAACAATGATTATTTTCCAGACACAAGTCCTACTATTTAATCCATAGCTGGGGATGGGGAGAAAAAGTGGAATCATACCTTTCCAAAGGTTATTTGCATATAAGTGAATGTAATGAATTTTACTAGAATTCTCATTCTGAGCTGCTGTCCATTACATCACCTGCATATCCCTAAGCTTACAACACATTGCACTCCCATCTAAGTACTAATCTTGTTTGATCTTGCTTAACTTTGGTGATCAAATAAGAACCAGTGTTTCAATATGATATGGCTGATATTGTCAATCAGACAATCACCCTCTCCCATGCCAAGCACCTGAATAATGCTATAGCTCTGTGTGTCCAATCGAATACACATCAAAGGCTTTTTAGTTTGAATTGCTGTTGATCACTATACTGAAGATTAATTTGTTAGCTGAGGAAGCATACGTCTTTGATGACATTTTTTTTGTAATATTCTTAATCTTGAAACACAACGGTATTCACTTTCTTTTTGATGGTACAAGGAGAAAAAAAATCATGAACTTTTTACTCCATAATGACAATACTACTATATTTTTAAAATTATTTTTTATAAAAATATATAGAGCAAGCTTGTATAGTTAAATTTGATTTTCTCTACTGTTGACTTCAGTCATATTTGTTTAGCAACATATCAACTCCTTTTGCATCATTTGTTCTTACCTCAAGATCTATCAGAAATTTTTATCAGATCATATCTAACCATAGGAGAGCCAAGTTCCAATTCCAGTTGGGTTCGTTATATTCAATTATGCGCGGATACCCATTAGGAAAGGCATGAATTTAACTCTTATTCCCTCAGCTATGGGATAATTAATAAGACTAAATCATTATTATCTATAAAAAAAATTCTTACACTCTAAAAAATAGTTTCTGGCTTTAAATAACCTGCAAAGGGTTGATAAGCTGTAAAAAAAAATCAATCAATCAATCAGTCAAATCTAACTGCATAAACATATTCATTATCCACTCCACAAATCATTTGGTGCAATATTTGATAAAAAGCATCTAAGATAAAGATGAAAATATTATTTTTGTTTAAATTTCTAGGATGAACAGTTACCACTATTTACATTATTTACACTTGGACTATTGTCCTCATTTTTGTTTGTTATCACATTTCGACTGTTATGCTCTTTGGCCTTCATCAGGTCAAACCTGATAACTTTCAAGGAAATTTCAGCTGAAACCTTCTATTTTATGTACAAGGGACAGATCGTTTTCGTTCCACTGTCCAGGAGTATCTTGTTTTGTTCTTATATAATACTGCTTATACTGAGTCTGTCTGCACTATTCAACGCAGGGATTTAACTCTTTATTACCAATTTATAAAGAAATATCACCAAATTCACAAACTAGGCTGATGATTATCCAGATTGACAAGCACCTGAGGAATGCTGGAGTGCACAACAGCTGAAGTGTTGTGATTAACAAAGATAAGGACAAAGATGTAAATAAAGAAATATTAGTGAAAAATGTAAATGGGTAATAAAAATTAGATAGTTCTAAATCTACTAATGCATGTTTTAAAAAAATATGTTGGAATGAGATTGGAAATGAAGACAAATTCAAAGCTCATGTGGTACAGAAACAGTATGTGCTAGGAAGGAAGAAAAAAGGTTTAAAGACAAGATACTTAAATTAAATAGCTACCAACTGATAGACTTAGTAGATGCAATGAAATTTTATGACCCTTTTATCATATTTTACATCATATTAATACCTTAAATATTTCAGTGCACATTGTACATCACAATGCCATATAATGATTGACTTGGTTTTAATGAAAAATTTGAAAATAGTTGGCAAACATGGAAAAACGTGATTGCAATAAGGTGTAATGTCAAAAGGACTGTTTTTCCCATGACACCACTATTTTAATTAGCTTCACTTCTCTGGCAATTTTTATTTTTATTAAAAAGCAATGATTATAATTGGAATAAAACCTAAATATATGAAAGTGAATTTATACATTTTTTTGTTTTGTTTTTGAGAATTTACAACAAAAATATTAATCACGATTTATTTATTAGATTATTTATTTTACAAGAATAATTTTATATTTACAACATTCTCTAAAACCAATACAATGCAATCTTTATCATTTACCAATTTATAAACAAATAAATATGAATTTTTTTGATTCATCTATTTATAAACATTTATTAAAATATGTGAAGCAACTATAAGGAAAACCTTATTTACTATTTTTATAAAATTTGAATCAATTGGTAATTAACCAAGGTTTTGCAAACCATTCAAATAAACAATATAATGAATAGTGTTTATTTTTTTGTTGTCAGTTGTTTTTGAGAATTTGCAACAAAGATATTAAACACTTTATTAGTTTTTTTTTTTTAAGTTCCATGTTTGGTGCAGAAAATCGAATTAGTGAGCCGAGTTCAAATTTCACTTGAGGCTGTTAGCCTTCACTTCACACTAATGCATTTGAAGAAGGTTATCTCTTCCCCTTAGCCATAAGTTTAGTAGAAAGGCAGTTGTTAGTAGCAGTGAACTACAGGAGTGAATGAATGTTTCTGAAGAAAGTGAACTTTATCTGTAGTTTTCATTTGTTTTTTTTTTTTTATCATTAATTTTGGTCAGTCCTTGTGTTGGTCAAGTTGTTTTTAAGATAGAGGATGGGAGACTTAAAGAATTCCCTCCTTGGTCATTTTGACAGTTTTATTGATTGCTGAGAATATGATGTGTGTGTTAAGTGTAAGTTATCTTTTAGTTCTTTGGGAGTGTGCGTGATGTGTGTATGTGTATATATTAGTATGAGTGTGTATATAAGTGTGGGACCTCAACACCTCTGCAAGCATGTCTGGGTTGGCTTTATTTTGTTTTATGTCATATCAACCTCAGTGAATTATTTAATGCCAATAAGATTTTTAGGATATGTTTGTATGAATAGAATATATATTCTTTGTAAGAAATCCATTTGTCCTTGACAGGGTAACCAGTCTAGGAAGATGACAACTCTGAATTCAAAACCAGCTTTACAAAGGATGGCCTATTTTATCTTAGACACATTTATTATTGATGCAACTAGCTTGATCCACTGCCCCAAATAAATACAGCTAATCCTATTTAATGATACTGGAATTAAACACTACCTATCTACTTAGAAAAATTAGACGGACTATAAAAATGAAGTGTATGCAATAAAAACATTTCAGTA